AAATGTCTTTTTTCTAGGGGTAGAATAGATCTCTTCCCTTTCCTTCATTGTCCTGTTGAAATGAATGAGGTGTGAATGGAGAAGGCTTGAAAGGTGAACACCTCCAGCAACAGTTGCAAAGGTGGAGAGGGGCTGGGAGCCAGATCCAAGGACAATAAGACTTGTGAAGTGAGCTCATTGAAAAGAAGATTGGACATATAGAAGGCCTTCGGAGTCAAGCAGCAAGTGCCTGAAGGAGCCTCTTTGAAGCCGCATTAAAAAAGGCGTCACAAGTATCTCATTGCATATGTAAATGCTGACTAACTTGGCTGCATGAGAGGGATAAATATGAGGCATCTTGCAGGGGAACCCCGGGTTTTCGTCATGTCAACATCGGAGCTTCGATCCAGATTGACAGAAGCCCAGCTCCACCCCTCCCCCATCTAACTCACCTGGCCAATGTAGTTAGGGGGAGCAACTATTGGTAACTGCAAGACAGAGTGTGCTTGTGTGTGTGTGTGAGTGCATGAGTGTAAGGTGGTATATGCACCATTGTAACTGTCTCTACCGCAGGGCCAAGCCCCCCTCTACAGTGGCATGGAGAGGAGATATGGTGGCAGTGCACACTCCTCAGGTTATGCACAACTGGCGTATGGTCCCTAAGGGTGTGTCTACACAGCAGGGCTAAAGTCAAATTAAGCTATGCAAGTTGAGCTATGTTAATTGTGTAGCTGACGTCAAAATTGCTTACCTCAGCTTTTGGCGTTGTCTACACAACAGGAAGTCGAAGGAAGAGCACTCCTCCTTCAACTTCCCTTACTCCTCCTAAAATAAGGCTTACCAGGAGTCGGAGTAAGAAGTCCTCCAGCTCAACATTATTTTGAAATAACGGCTTTCAGTGTAGACATGCTCTTGGTTATTTTGGAATAGCATCAGTTATTCTGAAATTATGCTGCTGTGTAGACATAGCCTGAGAGACCTTAGCCAGCTGGTGTAAGTTAGAGCAACTCCCAGGCTGTTACGTATCAGAGGGGTAGCTGTGTTAGTCTGGATCGGCAAAAGCAACCAAGAGTCCTGTGGCACCTTAGGGTATGACTACACTACCACCCTAGTTTGAACTAGGGTGGCTAATGTAGTCATTCGAACTTGCAAATGAAGCCTGGGATTTAAATATCCCAGGCTTTATTTGCATGTTCCTGGGCGCCGCCATTTTTAAATGCCCCGTAGTTCGAACTACCTGCCCGCGGCTACACGCAGCATGGGCTAAGTAGTTCAAATTAAAGCTCCTAATTCGAACTACCGTTACTCCCCATTGCAGGAGGAGTAAC